TGCATACATTGTTTTAGAATTGCTAACCCATATCCCTTGAGAAATAAATTTATTACCTACAGAATGGTATTTGTGTGCCATTCTTTTGCCTTTAGTCTTACAGTATCTACTCAAATACTGTTTTCAAAAATTATTTAGGTTAGTTATTTTCTTCCACATTAAAGACAGTGTCTCTGTGTTTACATTATTCACTATAATATTGTTGAATGCATTTGTTACAGTTTCTATTTCTTTTGGGGTTCCACTCACATTCTAGTTATCTCACACGGTAAGATTTACTTTCTGTGGTATACAGGTCTATGGTACAGTTCTCACTAACCTTTGATTCTGTTTCCTCATTCTTTATAGTTTTGCTTCTACCCATATGTATTAATAATATAAATAAACTCAACACAATGTGTAGTCCTTTGGACTTTTTCTTTTATTTACCAAGACATCATTGAAAGAGTTCATTCCATGTTCTGCATGAGTCAATATTTCATTTCTTTTTATTGCTGAGTATGTACTCAGTCATATGGTAAACCACTATGTATTTCAACCTTCTCCAGTTGAAGGACATCTGGTCATTCCCAGGTTTCAGTAATTATGAATTAAGCTTCTGTAAACATTCACATGGACATTTTTATGTGAACATAACCTTTATTTCTCTTGGCTAAATACGCAGGAGAGAGATTGATGAATCATATTGTAAGTGAAGTTTAACTTTATAAAAAACTCCAATCTGTTTTACAAAGTGCTGAGCATTTCTTCTTTCCTATCACCAATGGATGAGAGTTCCAGTTGATGTGTAGCCTAACCAGTACTTGATATTGTCATATATTTGAACTTTATCCATCTTACAGTTGAGTAGATGGTAAGTTACTTAGTATCTTGAGGTTTCAGTTCTTTCTTTATAAGTTGGAATTATAATACCTGCTTCATAAAAGCAGTATTATCCTTACTTGTTTTTAATTCTTATCTCCTGTAGTGACAAGAAAAGCAGAGATTGGACTAATGGACCCCATCATTGTAAAGGGTAGAGAATCACTCTAATCACTCTAACAGCATGGAGATACAGATTGGATGTGACAAAAGAAAGAAAGAAAGAAGGATAGAAACAAGAAAGAAAGAAGAAAGAAAGAAAGAAAGAAAGAAAGAAAGAGAAGAAAGAAAGATAAGAAAGAAAGAAAGAAAGAAAGAAAGAAAGAAAGAAGAAGAGAAGAAGAAGATAAAAGGAGAAGAAAGCGGATTAATTGCCTTCTGAAGGAGGGTCTTTTATTTTATTTTATTTTTATTTCTTATTTTTATTTTTTTTGAGACAGAGTTTTCAGCTCTGTTCATCAGGCTGGAGTGCGAGTGGCGGGATCTAATGTCACTTGCACCTTGAAGGAGTCTTTTAAGCAGATTCTACAGATGTTTTTGGTACAGTAGTCAGGTGCAGTTCTTTGTGAAAACCTTCCCAAAAAATTCCTATGAAGAAAGGGTTTTTTGGAGGACAAGCCAAACAGATTTCAAATTTGACATACAGTTAAATTGAAATTGTCAGTCCACCCCTTGGTTTCTGTACAGTGGTTCTCCCAACAGAAATATTTGGAGAATCAGAGGATGACGAGCCCCTCAATCGTGCTGCCTTATACAAGAACGTACACTGGGAATAAAAGAGAAACAATCAGTGAAGGGAAATAAGAAATATCGGACACATACTCTCCCTGGAAATTTGTAGATAGAATCAAAATGAATCCTAATTATACTGTAAGGTGGTGTGTGTGTGTGTGTTTTGTGGTGTGTGTGTGTATGTGTTTTCCTTCTT